AGTACCTCTCTAAATAGCTACAAAGAGCCTCCAGCCTCTTTGTAGTTGCCCTTTAAGTACTGGAATATCGTGATGAGATCCACCTTGAGCCTTCTCTTCACTGGAAAGAAAAGACCTAGCTCCTTCAGTCTTCCCCATAAGGCAGGTTCTCCAGCATTTTGACCATCTTGGTGGCCCAGCTTTGAACCCTCTACCATCTGTCCATGTCTTTCTTGAATTGCAGGGACTAGACAGGGACAAAATGCTCAGGTGTGGTCTGGTAAGCACTGCATAGAACGGAATGATCACATCTCTACCTCTGCTAGTCATGCCCCTGCAGATGCAACCCAGAATCTGATCTGCCTTAGTTGCTGCAGCGGCACACCACAGACTCACGTTCAGCTCCTTGTCTACCAGGATCCCCAGGTACCTCGCAGCGAGGCTGCTCCCCAGCCACACAGATCCCAGCCTGTACTGGGTTCCATGGTTATTCCAACTCAGGTGCTGGGCCTTGCACTTGTCACTCTGACTCCTTCAGGAGGTAACTTTCTTTGCCTTTCATCTTCCCTTTCTCCCTCTCTTTGTTTCGTGGCTGGCTTGCTGTTTCCTAAAGGTTATGCCCACCACACCAACAGAGCAGACAATGGCACAGCTCAACCTCCATCGCTCTTCTGAATTGCCCAGTTTTCCCTCTGCCAGGTATGCTGGTTTTGACTGGGATGGAGTTAATTTTCTTCATAGTAGGTATTATGGGGCTATGTTTTGGATTTGTACTGAAAACAGTGTTGATAATACAGAGATGTTCTCATTAATCCTGAGCAGTGCTTACACAGATTCAAGGCCTTTTCTGCTTCTCACCCCATCCCTCCAGCGAGTAGGCTGGGGGTGCAAGAGAAGGGAGGGGATACACCTGGGACAGCTGACCCCAACTGACCAAAGGGATATTCCATGCCATATGACGTCATGCTCAGTGTATAAAGCTGGGGGGAAGAGGAAGGAAGGGGGGGACATTTGGAGTGATGGTATTGGTCTTCCCAAGTAAACGTTATATGTGATGGAGCCCTGCTTTCCTGGACATGGCTGAATACCTGCCTGTCCACGGGAAGTGGTGAATGAATTCCTTGTTTTGCTTTGCTTACGTGCACATCTTTTGCTTCATCTATTAAACTGTCTGTATCTCAACCCAAGAGTTTTCTCACTTTTACCCTTGCGATTCTCTTCCCCATCTCACCGGGGGGGGAGTAAGCGAGCGGTTGTGGGGTGGTTAGTCGCTAGCTGGGGTTAAACCACGACTGTAGGGCAGAGCAAGCTCCCCACTGTGGCACTTCTCTACCTCTTTAATTGGAGACTGGTCTTCTTTCCCCTCTCACAGCCTCTCTCAGAAAACATTATACAGGGCTGTTAAATCAAATCCTTGGCTGCCTCCACTACGCCTATTCGCACTCTTGTAAAATACCAGTGAAGGAAAGTGTGGCCGGGGAGAAAAGGTGCAGGCTTGTGCGTTCAGCCCAAGAGGTTGTTCCACCCCAAAGAAGAACCTAGTGGGCACCACTGGTGGCAACCTGGCCATTTCCTTCCTCAGCCATCAGAGTGAAAATTGCAGCTGCTTCCTCTCCTTTATAATTACATCTTCACTCTGCATCCCTTCATCTTTCCTTTCATTTCTTCTTTCTTTGTCTGGGTTGCTCCAATTGCTTCTTATGTGAAAGCCTCTTTTGCCAGTGAGTTTTGTCACTGATCCCATGTGACCTTTGTTTTTCTATTTCCCTCCTCCCCCGACCCTGCCAACTTTTCATCCGGTTTAACAAGGTCTGGCAGCAGGACAGCATGGACCATGTAACAGTGCAGCATCATCATACATCCCAGGCAAGACTGTCAAACAGTCTGCCCAAAGTGGGGAGTCATGCTGCACAGGACCTGTCCAAGCAGAGGGGATGCACACGGAGTGAAGAGCTGTCCTCTGCCCAGGCAGTCCAACAGGCCCTTTTCTGCCCAGAGTTTCTCACAGACTATCAGGGAGAGTTATGCTCCCACTTCTGCCATCCCATTTCTCTGCCAACAGAGGACTGCTGAGATGGAGGGACTGGAGAGTGCCCCAATGACCCCACTATCCCCGTGTGTTAATCAGGCAGTATGATCTGCTTGAAATTGCCCATTCTCAAATGAAATTCAAAGCCAAATGAGGAATCCAGCTGGGAAGAACACCACAAAACCTTTCTCCAAAGCTGCACTTACCAAAGTGAAGGGTAGACTGCACTGATATTTGGGCCACTTGCTAGGAGGACAGCACCTCCTCCACAACAGTGGCAAGGTCCCTGATGGTAGAAGCTCAGGTCTGGGTATCAGCAACAGTTTTCTCTCCCTCTCATGTGGTACCTGCAGTTCTGTGATTGGTGGCTGGTAACACTGGACAGTCAGACCTTGGCAATACAGAGCTCTGTACATATCAGTCACAGTCTCCTCCTCTACCAGCCCCAAAGACTAATCTTCCACACCAGCCTGACCTTCTGTGAGAACACTCATTCTCATGCGAATCCTTGCATCTCTCTGCCATTGCAGCAAATGGCTCAACAAGCTCTCCAATAATCCCCCATGCTCCAGAAAGAATAGCACCCTTGGAAGTGAGGAAAACCTTAGAAGGTGTGATGTCACCTTGTTAATCCAGAATAGATATGAAATCACCATCCCTTGCAGGTAATGAAGGAGACTGCAACTCAGTTCAGTAGCTTGCTGAAATGGTTCACTACAGGATTTAGATACCTAGTCTTCAGTGCTGTCAGATGTGCTCATCACTATCTTTGTACACACAATCAACTAACAGCTGACACATGGGATCCACATCTGTCAAGCTAGGGTGTACTGGGTTTATGTGGAAAGGTTTTGGCAGCAGGGTGGCCTCTGTGAGAACAGACCAGGGGCTGCCCCATGCCAGACAAAGAGTTCCAGCTGGATCCAAAACAGAACCACCACAGGACACAGCTGAGACCATCAGCCAAGCTGGTGGTGCCTCTGTGAAAACATATTTAAGGAAGGGTAAAAAATGCCAGGGCAGCTGTGAGAGGAGTGACAAAAACATGAAACAGCCCTGCAGGTCAGTGCAGCAGGAAGGGAGGAGGTGCTGCAGGTCTGCAGCAGACATTCCCCACCAGCCCGTGGTACAGCCCATGGTGAGGCCAGCTGTCCCCTGGCAGCCCATGGAGGCCCACACTGGAGCAGATCCCCACCTGCAGCCCGTGGAGGACCCCACCCTGGGAGGAGCAGGTGGAGATGCCCTGAAGAAAGCTACAGCCCATGGAGATGCCATGCAGCAGCAGGCTCCCAGCAGGAGCTGCAGCCTGTGTTTAGGAGCCCACGCAACAGCAGGTTTTCTGGCAGGACCTGTGACCCTGTGGGGGATCCATGCTGGAGTGGTCTGTCCATGAAGGGCTGCACCGTTTAAAAAGGACCCACGCTAGACCAGAGGAACAGTGTAAGGAGGAAGGAGCAGCAGAGACAGAGCGTTATGGATTGACCATAACCCCCATTCCCATCTCCCTACACTGCTGGGGGAGAGGACATGGAAGAGTCCAGAATGATGGAGGGAAATAGAGTTTGAGAGGAAGGGAAGGGAAGGTGGGGTTAGTTTTGTCTTTGTTTCTCATCACCTTATTCAATTTTTAATTGGCAATAAATGAAATTAATTGTCCCTGAGTCTATTTGACCTGTGGCAGTAATTGTTAAGTGATCTCCCTGTCCTTATCTCAACCCACAAGCTTTCCCATCTTAATTTCTCCCCCATCCTGTGGAGAAAGGGAAGTGGCAGAGCAGCTTGGTGGGTATCTGGCAGTCAACCAGCCAAGGTCAAACCCACCACTCATACAGACAGAAGGTAACTTCCTGGTTCAGCCCTGAGAGCTAACTGCTGTGCACACAGAGAAGGCCCAAATCTGGAGAACAAGACCCTACCTGAGCCCCATGTCTTGTATACACTTGCAGCAGGATATCCAGGGTGAGCTGAGCTGGGTGAATGTTGCCTAAAGCAAGGAGGTCATGAGGAGCTGCTCTATTGCCAAGGCTACAGACAAGACAGATGTCTTCAAGTATGTAGCGGTAAGGCAAATAGAAGAGGAAAACAGGCTCCTCAAGAGTTGCACAGCAATAGGACGCGAGGTAGAAGACACAGACTGCAACAAGGGAAGAAATTTGGAAAAAAAGAATGTTTCCCAGAGGAATACTCAAACATTAGAAGACGTAGCACTGAGAGGCCATCCTGCTTTGGGAATATTCAAAACTGAACAAATCCCAAGCGATTTGATCAAAGTAGTTCCTGCTTTCAGTGAAGGCTGGGACCTGACGACCTCCAGAGGTCCCTTCCAACCTGGAGTACTACTGACAGCATAAACATCCAATGGTCTGTACTGATAAGACACCCAAAACTGAAAGATAAATGTTCTGTTTGCAAAGTACACAGTCCATGCATTTAAGTTAATTAAAAAAAAAAAAGTCTTATTGCTTTATTCAGATTTTGACATAGCTCATTTTTATGTTACTGGAAGTCCTGTTGAAGATCTATATAGAAATCACCGACTACTTTTCAACAGATATCAGCTTAAACCAAATAGATTACAATTATGGTAGAATTCAGCCTGAATAATTTCTTATGAACTAAGCAATTTTTCCTTTGTCTAAGAAGAGCAATGCTCATAAAATGCATTTTCTGGCTTTTGGTTTGGGCTCCTTTTTTGTCATTTGTTTTAAACAAAACTTTGAAATACTCTGTGCATATATTTTACATACTACAAGAATACAGGATGGCTTTATGAAATTAGAACTTCCAAACAGTTTTCTGAGAAACTTTAGAAATTATGTACTAGCAATATTCTATCTTCTTTGACTTAAAAGTGCATACACATTCAAAGGCTTTACACATTTCCCAGTTATTTTCTAACATACACAAATTACAACAGGTGTTTTTGTTCTCAAGTGGAAAAAAGGTGTTGAAACAAAGTCACAATTTTAAGAAGTGTTCCATGGAAAGTGTGCTACATTTTTTCTTCTGAGAAATCAAACCAAGACGCTCTGTTGACAAGACTCTTTGGCAGTCTTGGCATCAATGGTTGTCTCTCTGGACACTCTAGGAAGGAAATCCTGGGGGAAGGCAGTTGACTGGAAGGCGCTGCTGGTGCTTCTTGAACGCGGTTGGTTATAGTTTCTGTGTGAGGGGTGTTAGTGCTGGTATCCGCTATGATAAGACTCTGATTAGCTGCTGTTTGTTGAAGTTCAACATCAACATTTCTAATGTCACCATCTAAATTTCCCCTTCTAGTAGGAATACTGTACTTTTTGGCTGCTCCTCCAGTTTCCTCACCAACTCTGTAACCATCTTCACATCCTCTCCTTCCCAGAGAAGAAGATGGAGACTCATTTTCCCTCTCATTTACCTGATTTGTGCCTGTCCAAGTAATACTGCTGTCACATTCAGTACTTTCTGGTTCCTTGCTACTATCACTATCAATTGTAATCACCACTGGAGAAGAACGTGCCGAGTTACTTATGTGATGTTTCCGATGTTTCTTCTTATGCTTTTTCTTTTTCTTTTTAAGATGCCTTGTTGTGTCTGTTGCTTTTCCTTCATAGACTATCTCCACACTTGGACTCCTCATCTTTTTTTTCTTTTTCTTACGCTTTGTCTCGCTGCTTGCTCGATTGTTGGAAGGGCTCTCTTCATTTCTGTAGCAGGCACTGAATTTTGAGAAAGTTTTCTTAGGGTTGTTTTCTCTTTCTAGGCTTGTGTTCTCCATTAATGCATTCTCCAAGTGGCGAGTTTTGTACTTCCTTTTTCCACCAGGCTTTTCATTTTTCATTCTGTCAGTTCCTCCATAAGGGGTCCTTGATCTGTTGCTTGATCGACTCCTTGACCTGCATCTTTCATAATAGTAATAGTGTCTCTCATTGAGTCCCCTCTGGCTATGAGGATCTGTCCTTTCAATAAATGATCGTATCCTGTATTCTGGACTAGCAGATTGCCTTGAATAGAGAGCATTAGACTGAGTCCTCCTCCTGCTAGAGGATTCATAGCTTTCTCCAAATGCCTTTCGACTACCAAAAGAGTAGCTCCACTGGTATCTACTTTGATAACTGTCTCTTACATAATAACGGTCACTGTCTCTGCTTCTTGATCTCCTTTTGCTGCGGCCTTTGCTACGTGATCGTGATCTGCTGACTTCTCTGGATGGAGTGCTGTCATGACTTAGACAGCCCCTCTGGCTTTTTAGAGAGACTCTGGTGTCATGAACCCTCGACCTCCTGCTGCTTCTTTTGATCCTATGTTTGCTACTATCTCTGCTTTTCGATCGTCTCGATCGTTGGCTTTTTCTACAATGCTCCCGCCTAGACCGATGGCCGTGACTGCCTCGACTGTTCCGTGAACAGGACTGTGGGCTCCTGGACTTTCTCTTTCTAGACAATCTGTGATTCCAAGGGGAGCATACTGTGTCACTCCCTGGAGAGGGGCTCCAGCTCAAGTCCTGTGGAGACAGATCTTTTACCTCACATTTGCTCTTCTCAGCATCTTTTGACTCTGTCTTCTCGACTGCAGGAGATAAGCAGCTTCTACAACTACCCACATCCTCCTTATAGCTGGGGGAACGTGGGGAGAAACTCCTGCTTGGTTCACTATCACTCCAGCTGTGAAACTGGATTGGCTTCTGTTTCTTCACATCTTCTCTTTTCTCCTCCCTGATGGACTCCTCAGAGTCTGAGGACAGCTCAACCACTTCTGGTGTCCTCTCAGCTAATGGCTTAACATACCCAACAATAACACAATTGTCCGAGGAAGAGTCACTGTCGTTTGAGTCAGCATTAGCCTGCAACTGAGTCTGCAGTTTGGTTCGTCGACTCCTTGTAGCAAAGCCCTCATCAGAACTCTCTGATGTTTCCAGAGGAGAAGCTATGGTTGCATGAACCTCTTCTGAAATGGAATAGGAAGGCCCTGGAGTTTCATCATCCCAGGGGGTCTGATCAAGACCAGTCACAGACAAATTGTTATCTGGCCCTCGAGAATATGCCGTATCTGGAGATATTGTAATAATTGACGAGTCTGTGTGGCTTCCTTCATCATACGATGGCGCAGGACAGTCATAATTGGCGTGTTGATCATACGCGTCTAAGTTAAAAGGACAACGGGCAAAACTGATGAATTCATGTAAGAAATGTTCAGTTCGATTCAGCAAAAATGGCTTTAAATCATCAGCAAAGGCCTGACTTTCCAGATCATGCCTCGTCACATTACTCATGATAACATGCTGTACAATATTAACCAAAGAGCCATGGGCACCAAACAGGACTGTAAGTTCTCGCTTCAGCCAAGGAACCAACCTGTGAAGGCAAGCAGGGTTGCGGCGGAAAAACTCTGCTGAAATGTCTCGATAGCGGCCTCCATCCTGAATACTACGAATTCGCACACCAGTACGGTACAGAGCTCTGCGGAAGTTGATCATATCCTCCTCCTCAATTTGCCGCAGAGATCTGCCCTCTGCGCTGGCCTGCCTCCTTGAGGCCAGCCTCCTTATCATCTGCTGAATTTCTATGACTCTCTGACGCACTGGTTCACCCGACAAACTTTCAAATAATATCCCATATTCTGGAGAGGACAGCGTCCTTCGGGACAGGGAACCGCCAGCACGGCGTTCCCCTGTTAAGGTGGTACGGTAACGAAATCTCTGGCCATCAGGGCTGGCAAAAGAGCTATTTTCTAAAGGGCTGAGAACGTACTCCTTAAAGTCATCTTCAGCACGAATTGTATGGAAAATGGAAAAAAAGGGTTGCTTGCAGAGGGGGCATTCTGCTTTGTTTTTTGACCACTCCTGGACACAGCGGAAACAGAACCTATGCAAGCAGCGATCTAGATATGCAACATTGTCAAATCTATCCAAGCAGATGGGGCATTTAGAGTCAGGAGATGCATCTGTTGGCAGCTTGCTGCTGCTGGCTTTTGGCGAAAAGTTGCCATTTTCTGAAAACTCCTCATTTGCTGAAGTCATGTTCTACAAAAGAAAGAGACAAAAGATCATTGCTATCTCAGAGAAACAAAAACATTACTCTAGATGCAGAAACCCATAACTGTTGCCTTTAAGGTTGCAAAACCCAGCATTAGCACTGAGAGAATGCCAAACAAATAGGCAGCATGACCTAACTACTTCGCTTGGTTTCTCTTCACAGTGAGATCTGGCTCTTCAGTGCTGCAAGTTTTAAACAGAACTCAAGTCATGTAGGTAACAGGCAGGACTGTCGTCTTGCCCAATCATAAATAACTGCTTTGATGTGGTCAGTAAGTTTATGATTAACATTGTATCCTCCAAAACACATTTCCAAAAGAGACCAGCATTTACATGTGAAAAATATGAGAACAGTTAAGCAATGAGTTCTGTCCTTTAAGAAAAAGAGTCAAAACAGGTAATTGCACTCAATTTAAACTACCAGTTTCCAAGTTCTGCTGGACGTGTCCTGTTCCTGCACCCTCTGCCTGTGTTTTGCTGGGCACTCATGCTGGACACATATGGCTTGTTGGACTAGAAAACCTCCACGGATGTGTTCCAGCCTAAATTAGTGTTTGTTTTCATGACTGAAGCAGAAACAGCCAGGTGTCATTCCTACACCCATCCTCAGGTACACATTGCCTTTGCATCTAGTCAGGTTATCACGAATGGCTGGCAATAAATCCATCTATTTTAAAATTATTTTAGGTATCCGGATTTATCCTAAGGCATTCTAATTCAGTGGAAACAAGTTACCGTGCTACTTCAAAACTCACTAGCCCACCTTTTGCAGCAAGCCCAGGAGCAGGCGGGGGACACTGGGCAGGAAGTGTGCCCTGCAGACAAGAGACACACACACACGGACACGGAAACGCACTGCGGAGCGCAAAAGCACAGACGCGCTGCCGGGAGGACGCACACACACGCAGCGGGTGTCACAACCTCACGCACGCACGCACCCACGGTGGGGGGTAACGGGGTCACGCCCCCTCTGTGCAACACCACCCCCCCGCCCGCCCGCCCGCTGCAGGAC